CCAAAACATAACCGAGTCTCCTCCATATTTCACAATAGGTACAATGTTCTTTTCTTTGTATACTTCATTTTTGCGTCTGTGAACATAGAGCTGATGTGACTTGCTAAAAAGCTCCAGCTTTGTCTCATCTGTCCAAAGGACATTCTCCCAGAAGCTTTTTGGCTTGTCAGTACACATTTTGGCAAATTCCAGTCTCGCTTTTTTGTGATTTGCTTTCAACAGTGGTTTCCTCCTCGGTCGCCTTCCATTAAATCCACTTTGGCTAAAACAGCAACGGATGGTGCGATCTGACACTGATGTACCTTGACCTTGGAGTTCACCTTTAATCTCTTTAGAAGTTGTTCTGGGCTCTTTGGTTACCATTCGTATTAGCTGTCTCTTCAATTTGTCATCAATTTTCCTCTTGCGGTCACGTCCAGAGAGGTTGGCTACAGTCCCGTAGACCTTAAACTTCTGAATAATATTTGCAACTGTAATAAAAGGAACATCAAGCTGCTTGGAGAGTCTTATAGCCTTTACCTTTAACATGTTTGTCTATAATTTTCTTTCTAATCTCCTGAGACAACTCTCTCCTTAGCTTTCTGTGGTCCATGTTCAGTGTGGCACACACCATGATACCAAACTGCACAGTGACTACTTTTCACCCTTTAAATAGGCAAACTGACTGATTACAAGTTTGAAGGCACCTGTAATGCTAATTACAGGACACAGCTTAGTTTAACATGTCCCTATGGTCAAATTATTTTCAGTCTTTTCTAGGGTTACCATCATTTTTGTCCAGGCCAATTTCATTAGTAATTATTCTGTTGAACCACAATTCAAAAGCAATGTCTGATTTTCATTAGTTGGTTTTCAGTCATTTTTATTTATTATTACTTTTGTACTTTTGTCAGTTTCAAGTTATTTCAGTGACCATTGTGAGTTTTTCTGTCTTTAACGGAAGGGTAACAACAGTTTTGTCCATGTGTGTAATTGTAAGGCGTCGTAAGTAAGATTAGTCCCTAAAGAAAACTTTTTTCCAGATTTGTCACTATTTTACCATCGTCAACATTCCATATAAAAACCCAGAAGACGTGTAGGTTCACTGGTGGTTTTGAATAGTAAATAAAATGGACATATTTGTGTTGTAGACATGGTGACCCCTGGTTCCTATCACCACCACTGTGAAGAAATTTGAGGTTCTCAACAATAGACCATTTTACAAGAAACTATTCTGACTTTGTTGACATCACAATAACTGAACGTCATAGAAATTTTGAAAAATCGGTGGAATTCCCCTGAAAGAACCCCTTACACTTTATCAGTTCTGTATATTTCCTACTTGCATTAAAGTACAAAACTATTATATTTTGGCTGCCGTATTATATCTTGTCTCATCTCTGTAGACACACAAGCCTCCTTAATAGAAACTGTTCATCAAAATAACACATTCTATAACTCTCACTACTTTTATATGTGAAATCTGAGTACGTTTAAAAGCAAATATATTTTACTTTTAGTCAAGTATAAGTAGTAAATATTCATACGTAGGAATAGTTGTGTGAAATTGATCAGTGTAGTTTGAGGGAATCAAAATCTTTTGGTAGAACTCTCATGGAACAAATGTCTCAATTTACTTTAAGGGCTCTTTTGCAATGAAACAGTTGGTCATCTTGGTATAAGCTTTTTGAATATGTCAGTGTCAGGTCAGATTACACCTCCCTAAATCCCCTACCCCCTTCAGCTTCTTTTTGCTGAAGATCAGGCTCAGGCCATCAGTCTTACTGGTCAATACATTCTATACATTCTCACTGAAAAGTTGTAAATGAACAAGATACACCATCCTTAACAGTAGTTTGCCCTCGTTGTCTAGCTGGCTATTTCAGACCACCAGTGTCTGCAAAAGTCCACATAATGTAAAACTTATATAACTTATTTAACTTATATAGCATTGCAAAATAAGGTCAACCCAACCTTCTCAAGGTGTGCTAAGGTAGCCAGTTCACTACAGCCTGCTAAAACCATCTCAGTAGTTGGGAAATAATCCGCTCCACTGACGACCGTTTCATTCAGGCCGCTGCTACAAAATGTATATAGCGGAAACACAGTACATTCTGAGAAATAAAGGTAGTAAACTGTGACTGGGGCGGGACCCCTCTTGTCACTGGGGTGGGATCCTCAAGGGTACATCTTAGTACCTTTAGTCAGGAAACATAATTGTACCATAATCCATTGAAATTATATTTTCTAAGTTGTATTGACTCCACACACCCCGTCTCGTCTCCAGGCTTCTTATTTTATTGTTCTGTTTTAAAACGTTAGGTTATGAAAAAGTACAAATACATACTTTTCACCTGGAAAAACTTATTTTAGGTGCACAGTTGGACCTTAAAACCACTGTTGTACCTTTGAGGGAACATTTACACCGTGTGTACCTTAATGAACGAGAAGTGTACCCACACAGTACCTTTATTTCTAGCAGTACTTATCCAAGCATGTTCATGTCCATTCCTGAATCTGTTCATATTCAGGTGTGGACTCCTGCATTTGCTCAGATATTTCGAAACGGGCTGATAATTATGTACAAATGCGCTGGAGCTGCGTGTTTATAATGGTGACGTAGTGTAATCAGGAGATAATTGCGCACATGTTCGGTATTTTTATTACCATCAATAAATAGGCTCTAAAAGAGTGAGTAGCAGATGGCTGAATATTATAGTGCTGTAATTAGTTTCTGTTTGGGTAAAACACTCTTGGTTCCTCACAGGCTTTTATTTTGATTTGTATGATTAGTGCATACGGTGATAATTACATTGATTTTTGTTTCCCCACTTACGATCCTGCCATTTGTAGATATTTCCTTTTTAGGGTTTAATTGCTGGCCTGTGGATCTCTCTGCATTTTCTACAAAAAAGGAGGAAAATAATGTTTGCCTGTTTGACCCATAACCCCTCACAATGGACATGGTTATTTCCATCCCAAACAACACAGAACTGCACCACCTGTTTCTCATCTAGCTCCTGTTTGCAATTTTGGCCTCTTATTTTTCTAATAGCTGTAATAACAGTCTAGCTATCACTAACAAACCCCTTTCTATAAGCATGATGCTACGTGACGTCACGACTGATGGACTGTGCAAAGGCTTAACCCCCAGCAGCTAAAGCAGCTGATGCTCATAAAATGAGTAGCATGTTGTGGTGGTGCTAAACAGTTTGTGAACAGACCAATGTCTTAAATTTACGCTAAGGTGAGATGTGGTATGAAGTGGGGTGGGTAATATAACAACATGCTATCATTGATGTGTTAGTATCAGTATATCATAACGTCGCTGTCCAAAGAAAAACAAGTATCTCCAAAATAGTAACTTTACTGGAGAAGGCAAAAAGTTTCTTTACTTTCAACGTAAGCCAATGAAAAGAGTTTTTATTCTAAGCATCATGAAATTTTCACACAATGTAAAGAACAGATGCTGAGCTCAAATGATGCAGAAAAGTAAAAATCACAAAAAATGGAGATACATGTTTTCACTGGACAGCTGTGACGATATATGTGTACTATCACTGAACTTTTACTGTAGTTTTTCATAGACTTCTTTAACCTTTAGAGCACTAGGCTAATTTTGCATAATTTTTTCTGCATTTAGGTTAATTAAAGTTACAAAGTGTTGACACTTTTTTCTTATTATTATTACTAATTTATAAATGTTGTCGCTGTCCAAAGAAAAAAATGGTAACTTCACAGGAGAGGGCAAAAACGCCCTTAACTTTAAATGTAAGTTAAAGTAAAGAGATTTTATTCTAAATGATTTTGGGGCATTTCTATTGTTCCAGTCATCATGAAATTTTCACACTATAGGAGAACTGCTGTGTTCAAATGACAAAGAAAAAGAAAAATCGACAACAATGAAGATAAATTTTTTTTTTTTTTTGGACAGAGACAATATGCTAAAAGAATTTGTGAATTTGGCCTTTTTCTTAATAAACATTTCCTTGCCGCTTCATATATCGTGATGTAATAATTATGGATGTAATGATGCACATGTTCAGGTTTAATCAGTTCAGGGGAAAAAAAGGTTGAGTCATTTGAGTTTGGCTGTGCCCACTTTACTCTGATAGGACATGATCCAAAACTGCATACCACAATACTAAATAATATGTCAAAAATGGCACACCACCATTAGAAGTGCATTAATTAGCTATAATTTTTAGTGTAATAGTATGCAGTTTTGGACCCAGCCCTGGTTTTATCAATAGCCATGTTTACATGCAGCCTAATAATCTGTTAGTAATCTGACTAATAGCTCAATTGGAATAGAATACGTCCATGTAAACACCTCAATCAGAACAGACTAGTCTAATTGAGGCCATTTGGAATACAATTTGTATCCGATTAAACAAGGTGGCTAATCCTGTAAATAATCCATTAAATAGAAAAATAATAGCCGTGTAAATGCCTGTATCCAATTACATTTCCAATCAGAAAGTGTAAGTACGTTCTGCGCATGTGCGTTTGCGTCATAGTGAAAGTTTACAGCATTCAACATTGCGGGAGCAGAAACTGGTCTGCAGAGGAGACGAAGTTAATGCTGTGATCGGCAGGGGGATGGGCTTATGTGTTTCAGGACACGACGTCTTCCTCTCACTCTTCTTTAATAAATACATGTGAAGCATGTTTTCCTGAGTCTGACATCATTTTAAAGTAATTGCAAACACAAGCACTGCTCACTGCTGCTCATCTCACTCTGACTGGACTCACGTAATCTTGTTGTCATTGGTAATGTCTGCACCAAGTGGTGCCCTATGCATGTGTGTAATTTTGGATTGGTTTACTTGTAGTGAGCATGTAAACAGATTTTCATCAGATTGTTGAGTAGAGGCACATTGCTGATACAGTTCATGTTTTCAGTACCGTATTGACACTGTTACTTCTGTGATATTGCTCACCTTTAATGTGAGAGTACTAAATGTAAATGATTTCTACTCTTTCCTCCCTCTTAAATTCCTTTTTCTATTGTAACGCAGGTGGGTCCAGCGGGCTCCCAGTTCGGCCTGCTAGCGTGCCTGTTTGTGGAGCTCTTCCAGTGCTGGCAGATTTTAGAAAAGCCATGGAAGGCCTTCCTCAAGCTGCTCGGCATCGTCCTCTTCCTCTTCTTCTGTGGCCTGCTGCCGTGGATCGACAACATCGCTCACATCTTCGGCTTCCTCAGCGGCTTGCTGCTCTCCTTCGCCTTCCTGCCTTACGTCACGTTCGGCACCTACGATAAGTACCGCAAGCGTGTGCTCATCATCCTCTCGCTGCTCGTCTACGTGGGCTTGTTCTCTTCACTCATCGTTTGGTTCTACTTCTACCCCATCAACTGGCACTGGCTGGAGCATCTCACCTGCCTCCCCTTCACCAGCAAGTTCTGTGAGCGCTACGATATCGACCACGTGGTGCACTAACGTAGTGGCAGCTGTACTAATCAGTAGTTTCCAGGCTCCAGGCAGGACAGCAGGGGAGCTGGCTTTTGGAAGCCGAGAGCCGAGAAGAAAACATGAGGGACGAGGAAAACAGGTACTACTGCATGTGCTGAGGTATAAGGTCAGTACTGAGTTGTTGAGTCTGGCACTGGGAAATGTGCAGGCCTTCTTCTACTGCAGGGGTCTTAACACTAAACACTATTTCAATGCATTTCAAACACTTGCCTTAAACCAGCCAGGCTTTTTAGCAGAGTTAAGGTTGCGACATGACTGTGACAATTTTTATTTTATTTTTTTTTAACTTTGTTGCACTAACAACTAATACAACTTGGCTGCCCTACACGAATACTTCACCTGTTTTTCTAAATTTCATCACAATTCAGTGTAAACAGTCATTCAGAGTGGTTTAATGTAAACTAGTTCATTGTACAATGCAAATACACCTCTTCACCACAAATGGCTTCTACAAAAATACATTTTGGGCCAAAACCTTCTCAAACCAATCACAGAACAATGTCTCAGGCGTCAGTCACTGTATTCTTAATTCTTTACAGGCATTAAATCAGGGATGTCCAGTCTTATCCTCAAACGGCTGTAGTTTAGGGGCTCTCGAGTGGCGCAACCATCTAAGTGTTCTTGTGATCTAAGTGATCTAAGCTGTATCATCAGAAGATTGCGTATATTGTGTGACTGGGGTAGACCTAACTAGTGAGTGGAATTTGATACGATTACATTGGGGAGAAAATCAGGAAATCCCGCCTAATTCTGCTTGTCAGGTTAGTTGGTCTCAGTTCCTGCTTTAATGGAATGAAAACCTGCAGCCACACATCCCTTTGCGGATAAGGTTGGACACCCCTGGACGTCTGGTTCACATCACCACTGCTGTGTACAATTCTGACTCAGTTCAGTTCATATAAACTGGAGCACTTCACATTAAATGACTCCACTCTGAATGACTTCATTTACATCTTAACCATTGGATTATGCAGAAATTTTGGAAAAATCTGTGGAATTCCTACTTCATGCTCAGCTCTTTTTGTTTTAGCCTTGTTTAACCACATCACCTGGATATGCCACTAAGACAATCCAATCAAAAATGTTCAAACTCCAGGGAAGTCTAGAGCCACGCACGTCCTATATACATTTTCATCTTTTTTTTTTAAATTATGGATATTTGAGCTCGAGCCGGTGTTATTCCTTTATTATAATGCGGGATAAGAATCTTCAGAATGGTACATTCTTGAACCAGATAATGCACCCTAATGTGCCTTGATAAGCAAATCTCTTAACTTCTTACTCGGTCTGTGTTCGTTGGCCATGCGGGAACATTCTAGAACACTGAGAACTGCTCTAGAACACCGTTCAGCGTTTTCTCCCCTGGCTAGAGATTAGAGGCAACTTCCTCTGCATGTGTCCGGCTTATGGACAGGGAAACCGATGACTGACTGGAAAGGATTACGGTCTAATTGCGATGAACTGAGAATAGGAGGCTTTGATTAGTCATGCTCCAACACCAGCATACAGTAAAGCTGGTTTATCGACCATCGTTCGATGTGCCTGACGATAGAGGAGGAGGAACCAACGCTGTGACAGTGTGAACGTTTCACAGCCGTCCGGCACGAAAGTGTATGGTGCTGTTCATAAGAACTGGAAATGTTTGTCTGTGTTGTACTCATTCTTGTCTAGAACACGAACAGAACGTTATGCCAACCATCAGTGGAATCTGTGGGCACGGATGGGTGCTAAAGATGGGGTTGTTCAGTAAATGAAGCTCGTTGAGCTTATAGATCTGCATTTCATTTAAGCTGAATGCACTGTTTTATCTAGTGATTATTATTGTTGTTATTATCATTATTATTATTATTATTATTATTATTATTATTGCTACTACTACTTTTGTACACTTTTAAGCCAAAATGTGCCGTTATTGTTCTGATTTGACAGGTTTTTTTTTTACTTTTAAGCACACTGTGCCTTAAAAACATTAAAAGGGAATCATGTTTATGACTTTCTGAGATTTTTACATTGTGAATTAAATATATTTGTACAAATGATTGTAAAAAAAGTAAGAAAGACTGGACTGTGTAGAGGTGATTTTGAGGTATCGTATCATATTTTATATTTGGTTTTCCTCATAATAATGCATTAAATAAAGTAATCCCCCCTAATGTTTATGTAAAATGAACAGTGGCTGTCAACACCAGGTTATGTCTTCTGAATTTTACTATCCTACAGTACAAAACGAGTGGCAGAAAGTTGTGAAAAATATGTTTATTTTCTCTCTATTTACAAAACATGTACAAAATCATAGATGTCTTGATTCAAGACTCCATAGAGGCAAAGGTGGTCACTGTCTACAGGGAAAGGCAAGTTCATCTCCAGAAGGTCTCAAGTATGTTCTCCTGTCTCTAAACATGACCATGTGGTTCTACATACTTTCCACAGAAGCAAAGGGTTTTTTTTTATCAACACATTTGGATTGTTTTCCGTAAACAGGTTTGGTAAGCATTACTTAAGCGGTGGGTGGTAAACAGCTGCTCGGCCAAACCAGACTGTTCACGCCCTGTAATGCTTCCTAATGCAGATAAAGAAGTCTATGACTCCATACCTCTAATGCTCCGCAGACTCGCAGAGGTCAGTGACTCACTTGGCTTAAGAAAACTGATCTCGGATCAGAGTCAGTCACCTCTTTAAAAGGGATAGTTCCAACAATGCTGAATGAAAACTGTTAGCAATAAGTTTTACTTCTTTCATTGTTTGGTTGAACTATCATGAAGGGGACATTTCTTAGGCCCAATCCCATTTCATCCCTTGCCCCTACCACTTAGCCCTTAGCTCTCTGTTTTGCTCGTTCACATCTAGGGGGTAGGGTGTCCCAATTTTTGTTGTGATAGAGGGGTAGGGTGAAGTGTTGGGGCTGCATGGCCCTAAACAGAGTGTTGTGAGGAAGACCGGTGTTCTGACGATTTGTCCTACCCATCGGTCCTACTGAGCATGCGCATATCATTACTATAGTGTGGTAACTTAATGTTGTAAACATTTTGTTGTGCTTTAAATGCTAATTCAGAGCAGACTCAGCTTCATATCATTACTTACTGCCTGATAAGGCGATTTACGATAGAAATATCTTAAGGTTTTCTTATAAGAAGCCATCAAAATATCCTACTACAGTTTTATGTGCAGCGCTACCTAAAAATAAGCGGTATGGTAGGACATTTCGACAAGGTAGGACAATTAGTCAGAACATGGATAAGCGACCAAAAAACCCCACAAATGAGTATTTTCTCTGTTAAAAATTACAATAACCATCGTATTGTCTTAGTTTAATGTTGTTTTAATGTATTGTTGTCCTTTTCTTCATAACAAGCATAAAAAATCACTAATAGTATGCTAATGTCTCGGTAGCTAGTGAGCAAATTTCCCATTCCACCTTAAATAGTCCAGCAGTACTGATGCTTGAGGCACCAGAATGTAACTGCTGCTCCATTTAAGGTGGAACTGGAAAATTTAAACGAGAAGCTGGCGAACAGCTGAACTTCAGCTTCATATCACTGAAGAATTAGTGGTGGGCAATAATAAATAATTGTCGTATCCCCCTCTTTGAAGACAAATGATGCCCTAAATGTACCTAAAGCCCAGCAGCGAGGTTACTGAACTTTACCCTCCTCTGCTATCACTGAAGACTGGCAGAGTCACCTACAGAGCACTGCTAGTAGCTGTTAATGGAGTAATATCCTTTTTTATTTGAGGGTCCCATTTCATAGGAAGGATTTCAACCACTACCCCTTGTAACTCAGTTCCAGGAGGCAAGGTGACCCTCGAAAACAAGGGATAGGGGTAAAAATAAGAAATGGGATTGGGCCTCAGTCTTATGAGATGTTTAGCTCGTTCACATCTAAGGAGCACTGAACCTTCAGCCTAGTAAGAAATCTTCTTTAAACAGCGTCTGTGCAGCTCTCATGGTTTTCAAATCTTAATATATTTTGCAAAGATTTAAGAAAAGCAGGATTTGGATCCTGTCCCATGTGTTGTCCTTCTTAGAGGTATGATATGACCTGCTGCATTGTTTGAATACACACTTTGCAGTCATTCTCTGGGTCTTCGCTCAGAAGAGACCACAGTAACAAAGTGTCAAATTGATGCTATTTTAATGCTTCCACAGAATAGACACATCTAGAGCAACAAGACAAGCAACAGCCTAGCCACTGTCTCAAACCACGGTCCACATGCGACTGTACACCGTGGAGCCCTTTCTTTATTAATGGAGAACTGGAATACCGTATGCTATGCATGACCTACTGCCTGAACTCTCTATATTAAAAAAGGTTCATGAGTGATAGAAAAATAATAATCAAATGGGATCAATAAATAATTTTCAACATAAAAAATACAAAAGATAAATAAACTGAGCAGTGCTGAACCTAAAATCTTTGCAAAAACTCTTATTTAGAGAAACTGAAATCTAGAATATCTAACTCTAATAAATGCAGCCGTAAAAATGTTTTTTTCTTTCACTTCTTTCTTTTTTTTACCCCCCCCAAATGATCTCTTTTGCCCCCATCTATAGTGCACACCAATGCCATGACTCACAAAAGCAGACAAGCACTTAGACACGGCACAGCAGACCTACACCACAACGAAAAGCTGCCCCCTCCACTCGACTGCTTTGGCCTTCAGGGTGACAAAAGGAAAAGAGCATCTAAGCCAAAAACAAACGGTGGCAGAGGCCTTAGCAACCGCTGTTGCGGCGCATGAACGCGTGCCCGCGCACGGGAAACTGCATCTCGATGAAGGTGAGTGGCCCCACGGTGATCTCGCAGGGGCCCTGCACCTTGAAGCCGGACTTCTGGTAGAAGGGCACGAGGAAGTCCTCGCACATGAGGACGGCCCGGCGCACGTAGGGCAGGCAGCGCAGGTACTGCAGGTACCGCCACATCAGGATGGAGCCTTTGCCTTGCTGGCGGAAGGTGCGGTGGACCGCCAGGACGTGGATGTGGACCGTGGTGCCGTGAGGCTTGTGGAGGGTCAGGGCGTCCTGAAACGAGAAAGAGAAAACGGGGATGGAACCTTTTTTCAGTGCTTGAGACAAGGAAGATATACACATTCTCTTAGGGGGTTTAAAATGAAGCAGCTTCCAAAAAAATATTGTTGCACCAAAAAACCTATTAAACCCTATTACATCAACTCAGTGTTAGAAATACATAAGCTGAAAGACAAAACTGTGTTTAAAGTACGTAAATGTGCATCGAGAGAAGGAACAATGTTCTTAACATGTAATGAAGGTTAATGCAACAGGATTTTTTCCAAGTATTTTCGTGCATTTCCATCGATCCATTCATCATGAAACTGTAACAAGCTTTTAAATAATAATAATAAAAATAGAAAGTAAAAAACTGCAAAATTGGATATACAAGGTTTTGCGTGATTATATATGTATAATGCATTTGGCATTAGTGGTTCCAAAACGCTCAATTTTTTTTCATTTATTATCTGTAAAAAACAAGTTTAGACTTTATAATTTCCTCTCTGTCTCTTTCTTTTGTGAAAGCGTCTTGGATCCACAGTATTGTTCAGATACTGGTTGGTTTGTTGGTCTTTCCTTCAGTTTTATACCAGGTCTCTGACACTGTCTTATGCCAGTTTAAACACTTGAACCAAGTAACCTCAGAGCAGTATTTGTTTCAGGAGTTCTGTATTCCACATGTTAAGGTTCTCCCTGCTTTAACTAACCTGATTCAACCCATCAGCCCTTTCATTAGCTTAGAAATTGAGGTATTGTGGCAGAAATGTTGAGAAATTTAAGGTCAGGAAAAAAAATTCGAGACCTGATTTGACGAGTAGCCAACATGCACAGTTTAATTTGATGTGTTAACTTTCAGTTTCTCTTTTAACTTTAATTTCTACTGTTCAACACTCTTAAAAATGATTCTTTAAATGTTCTTTAGTGAAGACGACGGTTCTATATAGAACCATGAAAGCACAAAGAACTATTTGCATGATGAAAGGGTTCTATGTATGGTGAAATGGTTCTTTAGATTGATGGAGAATCTGTTCATGTTCATGTGTATAGAACCTTTGTAAAAATGGTTCTTTATAGCACAAAAAAGGGTTTGTCTATTGTTAGAAGCTTGATGTCCTCACAATAGCAGAACCCTTTTTGATGCTATATAGAATCATATACAGTACATTCTCCATAAATCTGAAGAACAGTTTCATCATGCAAATGGTTCTATGAGTGTTTATGGTTCTACATAAAACCGCTGTCTCTACTAAAGAACCCTTGAACCATCTTTTTTAAAAGTGTACTTTTATCTATTACTGTTAAACTACCTGTCTGTAAAGCACTTTGAGACTGCCACTGGTATAAGAAAAGCTTAATTAAAAATTATTATTATTATTATTATTATTATAGAAGGCCTCATCCCAATTATGTTTCAGTATTACAATTTCTACGGCAGAAAAGATTAAATTACATCTCCACAAATGAGAACGTGATTTCTACTCACATTGGTCAGGCGGTCCTGGTCCCAGAGTGAGCCGATGATGAAGGCCACCAGCCTGCCTTCCACAAACCAGCCCAAGGAGAGCTCAGGGCAGAGGGTGAGGAAGTGGCGCACTTCGTCCAGATACAGGGGGCATTCTCCGGACACGGAGATGAAGGCTGCAGAGGACACAGGAGAGTCACTTTCACTGTCACACGTTACTGCAGGTCTAAAAGTCACAGATTTGTCTTTAACTGACTCTAAAAGACCTTTTTGCTTTTGCAAAATCTTACTTGGTTCAGACACCATCATAATCTGAGTTTGTGTTCGATTTGCATCGATTTTTAAGGCAACCATTATAGATGAACTTAAGTTAAAACAAGAAATCACTTTTTATAACCAGTAACCTGTTTATAATTATGATTATGATTATGAAGATATGATTTTTCCTTTTTGAAAGAAGAGAAAGCGCTTACAGTGACAGTCTAAATCAGTTTACAAAGTAAAATTCCAACACAAAGTGAGATCAGAACTCCATACAGCTCTTTAGCTACATGTAAGATTTCATAATTTCACATATTTAAATATAACTCAATAAATTAATAGCTTAGATATAACTATACTTAATGCAACTATAATATAGCTCAATAATTCTAATTAATATAGCTCATAAATGTTACAATTAATTTTATAACATGTAATTCCAATTTATTATACCTTAATGTAATTTTAATAAACATAACATAAGTTCTGATAATGTCAGTCTAGCTTACATTAATATAGTGTGAATCTAATTCACATTAGCTTTGAATACATTAATGTAACTGTTATTTACTGTAATATAACTAATTTACATTATTTGTATCTTACATTTATGTTCATTGACTAACATATTCATACAACAATCTAACTCACACAAACGTACATTAATAACACGAATAAAATACACTAATTACACAAATAAATAACAATGTGAATCTAACTACAATAATAAAATTTTACCTATATCAACTCACTTTAATATCAGTTTATATAATATATAAAACCTATATTATGATATAAATAACTTAATCTAACTTTCATTGATGTAACATGAATCTACATTGATCATGTTAACCTGCACTCTGTGAATATAAATGTTAATTATAACTTGATATAACTAACATGCAGCAATATACCATAACCTAATTTACATTCATTTGACTTTAACTTAATATAAATGCAAATATAACTTGCATTCATTTTACTTACATTAATATAACATTAACTGGACCTTAGCTTAATATATAAGTTATAAATAAGTGATTGTAACTCCTATTAATGTAAGTCTAATGTAGAGCAATGTGAGTTTAACTCACTGTCTCTGTCTGTTTAGTATAACTTAGTCATTTAACTGAATCTTAGCGTACATAAACATTAATAAAATTGGTATAAAAGTTACTGTAACTGATATGAGTTTAATGCACGGTAATGTGAGTTTGACTTTGACTTACATTAAAATAACATTAATTGAACCTTAGCTGACATTAACATTGATAAAATTAGTATAAAAGTTGCTGTAACTCATATTAATGTAAGTGTAATGTACAGTAATGTAAGTCTAATATACAGTAATGAGTTTAATGCACAGTAGCATGAGTTTACTGTACAATAATGAGGGTGTAATATACAGTAACATGAGCTGAATGTACAATGAGTTAAATGTACAGTAATGTTAGTTTAATGCACAACAATGTGAGTTTAATGTTCAGTAAAAGGTAATACGTTTTGTGTTGTAAGTTTTATGTACAGTAATGTGAGTTTAATGTACATTAAAGTTGGTTTAATGTACAGTAATGTGAGTTTAATGTACAGTAAATTCAGTGTGACTCACCCTCTCTCTCTATCTCGAACACGCTCGTGGCGTCCTCGGTATTGAGGGAGCGGAACTCGCTGGCGGGCAGTGTGTGTCTGCGCTGGCGGCCCGGAGACACCGGAGAGTCCGGGGGCGCGTGCAGGGGCTTCAGGAAGAACGGGAGCGCGCTGACGGCGGACATCTCCTTACTCTGTCTGTCTGTCTGTCTGTCACTGCGAGTCACAGTCACCGTGTGTGCCGCGTGCGCGTCTCACCGGGTCGTTGCGCGTGTGTGAAAGTGCGCCGCACGCCGCGCGCGCCGCCTTTATAGCCGCCGTCACGCGCTTAAGCGCCGTTACGCACCGGGAGCCCACCAAGCGCTTCAGGAACAAATCCACACACACACATACACACACACACACACACACACCGCGCGCTCACTAATCACATTTACATCACTCAGGTGTGTGGGCGCGCGCGCGGAGCTCAGCGCTGTTTGGCCGCTGAGAGTCACAGTAAAGGGGTTAAAAGGTCAAAGTCAGGTCGGCCGTTCACTGATTCCAGGAAGGGGCTTGTTTTTATGAACAACCCGGTCCGTGTCTCAAACTGACCCCTAGTTTCCCCCATAGTGAACCACTATCTGTGGAACGAAAGTGAGTGAGCGGATCAGGTCAGAAGGTGCCCAGATTTACTGGATCATCAGGACACTCTTTCTCCACGCGCAAACAATGGTTGTGTCTCAAACCGACCCCTTGTTCCCTGAGTAGTGAACTATAGACCAGCCGCCCTCGTTCACTTGTCCTCGTCATTTCCTCTCGGTTCAAACCCCAACGCCATCTGAAGGGCTGGTCCATCACTTTATCAGCTCTACTGAAGTTTAGATGAGCTCTCGGAGGGTTGAGAGGCCGAGCGAACAAAAGCATCACCTTCAGTCAGAGAACTCGTAAGAGAGGAGAATTACATCTCTGCAATGTCTTTCGGGTTTCTCAAACGCTAGAGGGCGCTCCTGAGCGAGTCCAAAATGAATGGGTGAAGATGGAGCATTTGAGCAAAATCATAGTTTATAAATGCTTAAATGTTTTTAATATAAAAGAATACATTCATTTCCTGAACACAGAACATCACAAAACATTTGAACACCGCTGTTATATTTTTTAAGAGCTTTTAAACCCGAGTTATAGGAGTTTAAAATGGCGCCTCATGTATGTCCATGACGCGAACAGCCAACGAGCTGCTCCGCTCACCAGCCAGTCAGCACCCAGTAGCAGTAACGTTAGCATCCTGCTGCCCAAAACCTGTTTGCTGTAGAAAAAGGAAACATACAGGTAAGTTTTTTTTGCTTTTTTTTTTAAATGCAAACTTTTGCTTTCTAAAATTAAAGGAAACTTCTGGGCAAATGATTAGAAACTATTTTAACTTTTAGTTTTTAGCCATTTAGCTCAATTTACCCCGAGTCATTGAGGACTCACTCGTGGGCGCCCTCTGGTGTTTTCCAGTCCAGTTTTTCATATAATGAAGGAAATAGGAAAAGGCAACGCTCCTCATAAACTGGCTCTGAAGCAGAAGTTGCCTGAAATCATTGCGATGTGACACACTTCCCTTTTCATACACAAAACAATGCTGCAAAATCCCCTCCTCACTGTTCCCTCCACCCCCGTCTGCTGCGAGTGGCCAATTGTGTAATGTAGTGGTGAGTTGAAGTGAGTGAGGGATTAAAAAAGGTGTTGAAATGGGACGCTGATGTATCGCAATGTGGCATCACGCAGAGCAATGCTAACCAACCCAGCCGTCTGTTAGCTGACATAACCGAATTAGCAGTTAGCGCTCCAACAGAAGCAGTTAACTGCACCTCAAAATGTGCACTCTAAACTGAGGTCGCATATTCCAAAATACTAAAAACTTTAGTTGGTATCTTAACTTGAATCTTAATTGCTGATAGGTGAGATTTGCTATGCATTCTGGGATACACTATATTGGTGAGGAGTTTCATCTGCCCCTTAAGAACAACCTTCTGCATTATGACACTCCTAAAAAAGGACTGAATCCCTAGTTACCTCTCTCAATAGGGAACAACGTTCGAATTGAGACACAGCCTTGCTTTCAGCTGTGTACAGCAGGGTGGTCACAGTGTTATCATGTACCGCTTTGTGTAATCTGAGGGAAACTTGTCTGGTATTTGGGAACTTCTACTAATTCCACAACAGGACTAGAGAAGATTAGGAATATAGCTTCATCAGCTGTTTCCCGCACATGGATTAAGTCCAACCTTGGACGTATAATTTGCAGTGCTAATGGTGATTCACCACTGAAAATCGTTTTAAGTCTTGGCTCAGGCTAAATCCAGGTCCAGGAAACCATCTATATTTCGGGAGGGAGAGAATTAACATACCAAATAATTAGCTGTTGTTAAGCCTATTGACTGCCATAAATGAGTTCTCCTGTAATATAAACCTAGACTGAAATGCTTCTTATTGGTATGGGTGGTAATAATGAACTGGAGGAGTAACTTACACTCAAATAATGCCACCTGGCTGTGAGAAGACACAACACTGCATGTAATAGCTTTGATTAGCAAAACTGTGGTTTACAATGCAAAATCCAGGACAAAACTGGCTCGTACTTATTGTTTGAAAGATCTCCAAGTGATTTGATTCTTCTCCTCCAAAACACTTCAAAGCAAACGAAAAATAAAAAATAAATAAATGTATATTTTTAAGAAATTGTAAATGTATATTAAAAGAATACATTTCACACCTCCACTGACAGTTTAACAGATTTCCTACTGCCACACTTTTAATATATATTCTTCACTTTTACTACTAAACATAGAAAAGTAAATTTGCTTTTATGTGCATAAAACAGATTGAATAAATATTAAAGGGGAATTCCACCCAGTCTGCATAAGTGAAGCACTGTTATGTAAACAGAGTCATTGAGTCTGCTTTGAAATGAAATGCTCTGTTCTGGAAAAACGTACAGAGTCAGAATCGTTCACAGTGGTGGTGATAGGAACCAGACATCCACCTCTAAAAGCACTGCTTGATGCCTGAGACATTGTTTTATGATAGTTTTGTAATAACATTTTCATCTAAAACATACTGTAATCAATTTATTTCAATCTGTTGATGATACATGATACATGTAGGGTGTTCTAAGGCAAAGTAGTCCCAAATAAAACTTAAGTTTTCCTCTATTTTACCATCATTAACATTACATGTTTCTCTAGAACAAAGAGTTTCACACCGAACCAACCTGAGCGACTTTGTTTACATCATGATCACTGAATTATGCACACATTTAAAAAAATAAGTGGAGTTCCCCTTTAAATGTATACCTGTATATCTGCCATGCTTCTGTCATAATTAAAGCAGCCAAATAGGACAAACTCATACATAAAAAGGGAGAAAAAATTCTGTATCTCCCTCTATGGATGCAGATATCATCGACAAAAGACTGATGATGTCACCATTTCAATTCATATAGACATGGTGTATTATTTTTATATTTGTAAGGTGAGAGGTCTCAGTACTGCTGCTGGGGCTGGATAACATTAGCTTATTACCTTAACTGAAGGTATGTCCGTAAATGGATCCTTTATTGAACAGAAGGGAAACGTAAAAAGAGATCAAAGTGTTGTGAGTGGCGGATCTGGTTTCATTTTTTTCTTTAACAACTTTCAAACGGTGGGTGCAAAAAGCATTTGACACTTTTCAGCGCTTTTAATTTAAAAATTAATAAGTAAATTAATTTAGTAAATCATTTTCATTTTCTTTTGCAAATTAGTTTAGTAAATCATTTTAATTGCAATATCATGAATAAAGCTGGTTATACAGCTGTAACAAATCTAGCAAAGTCCAGGGGGGCGAAATGGCAAAATGTAATATAACGACACTTTTTGATACATTTTTTATGATACATGGTGTCACAATATTTCTGATGTCTGATAAGATGAACAGATAAAGTAAATACTATGAAAAATTAGCAATACTGCTACTGAGTGCTGAATGGTTAGCATTACTGCTAATGAGTTCTGATTGGTTAGCCTTACTACTACTACTAGTGCTAATTGGTCAGTGAGTTCATTGGCTGATTTCATGAACGCACGAGGCACCGTTTTAAACTCCTATAACTCGAGTTCAAAAGCGTTCAAATACATAACAGTGGTGTTAAAATGTTTTATGCTTTTCAGTGTTCAGAAAATAAATGTATTCTTTTATATAAAAAAATGTTTAAGCATTTATAGACTGTGATTTTACTCAAATGCTCCATCCTAACCCTTTCATTTTGGACTCGCTCTGGAGCGCCCTCTAGCGTTTGAGAAACCCGGAAGACATTACAGAGAGGTAACTGTCCTCTCCACAAGTTCTCTGTTCTCATTCGTAATTTCACCGGTCTCCTTATTTATGCCGTCTCTGACTTCACCCATAATCTGTGAGAGTCAAACCTAGAAGGGTCAGTGATGAAGTGAAGTATGTAAACTAAGCGCTAAATCGGGATAAAACTGGCTCGTTTCTGCTGCTCAGCGCTTCGAGTTTCACTCGTTATGTGGTTGCTATGGTGACGTGAAGACTCCACAGCCAGCACGCTTCTTATGGAGTAGCCAATCACAGCGCGGGAAGGCGGGGCCTGCCGGAATACGGGTGGGGAAAAAAAGATACCACGGGGTGTTAGATGCTGCAGTAAGTTTTGGGAGTAAAACCATGAGCGACTCCGTCGTTTCTTTTGCCAGGGATTTCCTGGCTGTCTGTGTCGCAGCTGCAGTGTCTGAAACGGCTGTGGCTCCTATCGAGAGAGTGAAACTTCTGCTTCAGGTAAGACTAAACAGTGAAACTTTTCAGTTCCATATTCAGAACGTTTCACACCTGCTTTCAGCTAATAGCAGATCATTACAGCTGTTACAGAATAACATAATAATGAAGTATTTATGACTGGGGTGTGTATATGAAACTGTATACCCCAGACAGATTATCAGTAAACGTCACTGAGCACAGATAAAGTGGCAAAGGATAAAAAAGACCTTTCTTAAGCCTGGAAAAATCTTATATATGGCGATAATGGGGAGTTTAGGGAAACATAGTTAGACATATTGGAGTTAAACGTTATGGACAGAAGTCTTTGAGGGTCTCAGTAAGCTTCCATTGGAGGCACCTTCAGTAACACTGAGAGAAAACATCTCTGATGAACACACTGCGGATGAGGATACTGTAATATTCAGTTTAAAGGGGAATTCCACCAAACTTTCTGAATAATTAAATTGATGAAAGGTAAACAATGTCACTCAGAGCGCTTTGGTGTGAAATGCTCCATTCCAGAGAAACTTACCAATGTCAGAACTGTTCACAGTGGAGGTGATAGGAACCACACGTCTGAAGAGTTTAATGCCTTTAAAAGCTCCCTCAAAGAAACTTATATGAAATGATTATGAATACACTGCCTGATGCCTGAGATGTTGTTTTACAATAGTTTTGAGACAAGACTTTGGTTTAAAATGTACGTTTTAATATTCATTCATTGTGGAGAGGTATAAGCAGAGCAATGTGAGGCAAAATAGCCCAAAGAAAACTTATTTTTTCAGACTTGCCACAATTTAACCATTATCAACATTTCATATAAAAAAATCAGAAGACAAGTGTAGGGTCACTGGTGGTTTTGGATAGTAAATAAAATGGCTATATTTGTGTTATCGACATGGCAAAGCTTTATTCCTCTCATCACCACTGTGAAGAAATTATGTCACAAATTACACTGTTTCCCTACAATTAACTAATTCACATCAAACTCCTCTAAATGACTTTACATTGGTTACATTAAGAGAAATTTTTGAAAAAGTGGTGGACTTCCCCTTTAAAGGTCTGAACAGAGGCATTTTAAGTAAGAGGGCAAAGGCAGGGATGTAAAGCAGGGACTACAAGCTGCAAATCGACACCAGGTTTGCTGAACACAGAGATGGTTATATACATGTAAACACTGTGAGTCAGCAGATTTTTCGCATGACCATGTGAGTAGAAACCTGCAGAGTGTTCTTCAACCTAGCAAAGTCAGGAAAAGCCTTCATTCTTGTTCTTTTATTGTTGGTGCACAGCATAGAAGTACTAAAAACATCTGGAATTGAATCTAGGCAACAAATCTAATGCGCTCCCTCATGAGCATAATTACTGTATATTATGCCAAGCCTATATCATGTAAGCCTATTAGCCCATTTCTAGGAATTATCTCAGGTTTCTTACAAAAAAATTTGCTTCTTGCCTCTTGGATACTGACTTAAAGGCCCATAAACATACCATTCACTCACCAGTCCATGTATGGACCCTGAGCAAGCCTGTTTTGAATTCATCTTTTGTGATGTCACACATTTACAAAAGTCTCCCGATCCAGCCTACAGCAGTTTAGCCCTGCCAATTCACTCTGAAGTTATAAGGAGTGTTTCCACCAGCACTGCTTTTTAAATGAGGCACAATACAGGGCAGCCAATCAGAACAGAGCTCGTTTACATATATCAATCTTAAAGGCACAGTAACATAAACAGCCTGTGTAATTCTAAGGGATAAAGAGCGGTTAGAAACCATACAAATGGTATAAGTGCATGTTATAAGTGGACATATATACAAGACAAATGCAGGATATAGACCTTTTAAGCTAAGTTGGTGAGAATGGGCCTCATACACCAACCTTTCTTAAGAAGAAATTTCTTCTTCAAACCCACTTACACAGTTTTCACAACGATTCTGATATTCACCAATGTTTTCTTATGTGGGTAAGAACAGCACTATTTATTCTTAGGTAAGAACAGAATCTACACAGTCAAAAGCACAAAGGTATGAACAGTTCTGTGCTTTAAAAACACGTCATGAATCTGACATAGAGACCTTTCTCAAGAACACATTTAAGAAAACAGTCAGGAAGATTTTATTGAATGAGGCCCAATGATGTTATGAGTTAAGTGAAAAAAGGAACCCACTAGATTGGATTTCATTATAACTTGAGGGTATACTGCAAGTTTAGGCCCTTAATTAGGTTCAGTTCTCCAACATTACCTATTTTCAGTCTGTTTAGACTATTGGCTCCTCAAACAAAAGTAAAATATCGCCTAAATGAGTATATCTGAGCTAACCTGCTGTGCTTCTACAAGCCGAGACTGTTCATTAGGTTAGTGTGTACCATCAGGCCTAATGAATTAGACACTGCTCGTCCCTACAGGTGAGCTGCTCAGGTGACTCTCAGGTGTTTGTCTCACCTAATAACTGTAGTGCAAGCTACAGAACAGGCTTCTGTCATGGGAGTAGCTCAGGTTTCTATGGCAGCACGGGATGGGCACGCTCACATACGTCATGGGCTCCTTCGTTTGCACCTCCGCTACTTACAGAGTAGATTACAGGTGTTACATCATTTTCCCTAAAGAAAACATAATTATAATGTTTTATGAAGGTGTGTATCACTTTAATGGAACGGTTTTTGGCAGCTCCTGCAATTTTCACCAAAGATTTACCAAATAGAAGGAAATTAAAAAACAGGTTTTCGAAATTTTTGCATATTTTCATCGAGATGTCATTTGGAGAGGTTTGGTGTCGAATGGTTCACTGTACAGATTGCTGATTTTTTAAAATTTCTGCATAATTATGTGGTTAAGATGTAAACATGTAAATCATTCAGAGTGGTTTGGTGTGAAACGCTCCGTTCTAGAGAAACTTACTGAGTCACAATTGTTCACAGTGGTGGTGATAGGAACCAGACATCTACCTCTAAAACCTCCCTCACAGAAAGTTATTTCATGAAATGACTATGAATATGAAGCCTGATGTCTGAAACATTGTTTATGATGCTTTTGAGAATGTTTTGGTGTAAAACAGAGGACAGAGGGTACATGTAGGGTAGTGTGAGACTTTTTTCAAATTTTTCACTATTTTACCATAATCAACATTACATATAAACACTCAGAAGACGTGTTGGTTCACTGGTGATTTTGAATAGTAAATAAAATGGCTATATTTGTGTTATAGTCATGGCGACCCCTGGTTCCTATCACCACCACTGTAAAGAGTCTCTACAATCAACCATTTCACACCAAACCACACTGAATGACTCTGTTTATATCTCAACCACTGAATTATGTGGAAATTTTAAAAATTCAGAATTCCACTTTTAGTATCTTAAATCTCTTCACAGGTGCAACATGCCAGTAAACACATCACAGTGGACAAGCAGTACAAGGGCATCGTCGACTGCATCGTTCGTATTCCCAAAGAACAGGGCTTCCTCGCCTACTGGAGAGGCAACCTGGCCAATGTCATCCGATACCTTCCCACACAGGCCCTCAACTTCACCTTTAAGGACAGGTACAAGAAGTTCTTCCTGGATGGCGTGGACCAGCGGACCCAGTTCTGGAGGTACTTTGCAGGTAACCTGGCCTCAGGGGGCGCCGCAGGGGCCACTTCCATGTGTGTCGTATATCCTCTGGACTTCGCCCGAACCCGTCTGGCAGCGGACATCGGCAAGGTGAGGGCGGAGAGAGAATTCACTGGGCTGGGCGACTGCTTTGCAAAGATTTTCGAGGCTGACGGCCTGAGGGGACTGTACAAGGGCTTCAACGTGTCTGTACAGGGCATCATCATCTACAGAGCAGCCTACTTCGGCATCTACGATACCGTCAAGAGTGAGTGTAGATCACAAGATGGAGACTTGGCTTTGTAGTGTCAGGTGTATGTCACTGGTCACCTGGTCCTGGACCACCACTGTGCTGTGTGTTTTGGTGTTGTCCCTGCTAATTCAGCTAATCAGCTAATTAAAGCTGCACTATGTAAGGCTTTTTGTTGAAACTGAAAGAAGTATCATAAAAAAACAGGCAAAAACATGGTAAGAATGCACTGCTGCGAGTCGTCATGTAAAGCCTGAAAAAAGCGAAGTCAGGGGGTTGGGTTGGGAATTTCTCACACCATGTATTAACGTCGTACACACAAGCTCCAAAAGAAGGTCCAGCTTAATGTTTAGGTCTCCAGTGATCAAAATCAACATTTTGCTGATGAAGATATTATAACAATAGTAGATAATTCACTCACATCCTCAGAAGACGCGTTCTTCACATTTCGACTGAGTTCTCTTTGAATTCTCTTTCAGTCAGCAGATTCATCCACTCAGGAAAGGGGTCTAAAGCACAATCCACATTACAAAATGTTCTTCCACACGTTGCATGCGATTACACATTTCCACCAGAGGGGTCCAAATCCCCAAAACCAGCTTTAAAGGAATATTCCAGCACTTTTTCAACCTAATCCGTACCTGTTGCAGATGTCTTGTACTGTTAGTTAGCAAAACATTTATGTTGTCCCTGTGTTTAGAAAGGAACTGAAAACCGTTTGACTCAAAGCTCACTTATAATAGAATGTGATGGCTAGTTGCTGAATTCCGATTGAAATATGTGACTGTAGTGGGGATTTGAAACCACAGCGTTACATTCTAACAGTACAGGTGTTGGGATGAGACAGACTGAGAGAATATCTTACCAAAGATGTTCTTCTGAGATTTTAAGATTTATCCGACTTCTGAAGTGAAGCTACACAGTATAAAATCAGTTCTGGTTAGTTTTGCTTTCCTTAATGCTGCATTTACATTTTGACAGTAGACCAGGGATGCCCTAAGTGTGACCCGCGAACCAAAGTTGGCCTGTGAGGCCGTTCCCCTAGCCTCCTCAGCCAATTTGAAAGCAAAAATATATATAAGATTTGACAACAGCGTATGAAGGCTAGGAATCTAGCTGTTTTGTTTTTTTGGTCCAAACATTAAACTTTGGTCCCCTAAAACAGAATGTTTGGGCACCCTTTCAGCAGACGGACGATGGAAAACCAGATATTCCATGCTTCTGCAGCAGACAGGAAATCTGCTGACTGGAAAAACACTAGATTATTCCTTTAACAAACAGCCTGAGTTGAAGTGGGTGTGTTAGGGGAAAACACTAAAATGTGCAGGTCAGGGCCAGGACTGAGAAACACTGATGTGCTAAACACCCTCCTCTGTTTTTAGGTATGTTGCCAGATCCAGACAATATCCACTTAATGGTTAGCTGGATGATCGCTCAGAGTGTGACCACAGTGGCCGGAATCGTATCCTACCCCTTTGATACGGTCCGCCGCCGTATGATGATGCAGTCTGGCCTGAAAGGAGGTAAAACAGTGCAGTAAAATCAACACATTTTACAGAAAGCTGTTGGTGACATCCCTTCCTAATAAACAAAAGCCTGATCATAACTTACTAAGGTGTGAGAATGGGATCCTGATGTTTGGCCATGACTTAGTAAGGCCTGGGAAAAAGAGAAATAATTATCTCAACCCCACACTTTACGAATTTGCACTCCTTACTAAGTTGTGGTCACAACTGAATTATCTTGTTCAAATGCCTTATTAAGTCAAGGCAACTGTTTACAGTGTCTTGTTCCCACCACTTAATAAGTGTTGTTACCACTTACTTAATTATTTTGTTCCTATGCCTTACTAAGATCACACACATCATTTAAACCGCTTATCCTTCTGAGTCGCGGTGGGGTGCTGGAGCCTATCCCAGCTGTCATTGGGCGGAAGGCAGGATACACCCTGGACAGATCGCCAGTCCATCACAGCCTTACTAAGATGTGGTCACAATTTAATTATCTTGTTCCCACACATTACTAAGTTGTGGCCATGACTTAACTATCTCAACTGAATTATCTCGTTCCCATGCCTTTCCAAATCGTGCCCAAGTCTTAATTACTTTGTTTCCATGCCTTACTAAGTTGTGGTCATGATTTAATTATCTTGTTCCCATGCATTACTAAATTGTGGCCCTGACTTAACCACCACAACTTGATTATCTCGTTCCCATGCCTTACCAAATTGTGGCCAAGTCTTAATTATGTTGTTCCCATGCCTTACTAAGTTGTGGTCACAATTTTATTATCTTGTTCCCACGCATTACTAAGTTGTTGGCAAGACTTAACTATCTCAACAGAATTATCTCGTTTCCATGCATTTCCAAATCGTGCCCAAGTCTTAATTACTTTGTTCCCATGCTTTACTAAGTTGTGGTCATGATTTAATTATCTTGTTCCCATGCGTTATTAGGTTATGGCCATGATTTCACTCTCAACTCAATCTCAACTTAATTATCTCATTTTCATGCCTTCCCAAATCATGGCTATATCTTAATTATTTCATTTCCACACCTTACTAAGTCATGGCCATGACTTAACTTACTTGTTTCTATGACTTACTAAGTCATGACATCTCAGTAGTGTCCCGTTTTCATGCCTTAGTAAGTTGTGGCCATGCATTATTGTAAATATTTTTAGGAAGGGATGTGACCAGTGGGGCTCTGTAACTGTTAAACTGCAGCAACAGATCAACTGTAAACTCAGTCAGGTTGACAGTTTTCTCTATAACAGAAAAACATAACCTGTTTATTTCTGCTTTTTTGGAATTGCAGCGGACGTCATCTACACTGGCTCAGTGGACTGCTGGAGGAAGATTGCTCGTGATGAAGGTGTGCAGGCCTTCTTTAAGGGGACCTGGTCAAACATTCTGAGGGGCGTGGGTGGTGCCCTGGTGCTGGTTTTATATGACGAGTTCAAGAAAATAATCTAAATAACTGCCGTTAATGTTGTGAGAAAGGTGCTGCACTGAAATTATGTCCAATGAGGAAACGGGAAAGGTAAAAAAAAGTTGTTTATGTGGAAGAGGTCATCAGTGTTTTGAGTCCTCGCATGTATTGGTTGTTGTGTTACATGGTGTCTTATGACTGACCTTGCTTTGATAAAATTGTCTGAAACTGAATGTGTACATCAAGTAAAAGTCTGCTATCACCACTTCATTAACACCAATGTATTGCATTTTTTAACCATTAAAAAAAATGTATATGTTTCTTTTTCTCTGTGTGCGTCTCCTGTATGCTTTGTTTGCAAAGCGTGTTTCTGATAAACCAATAAAATATTGATCAATTTTGACTGTGGGCAGGTAAATGGTGTCTGATTTCTCAACTTGTCACTGTACACCCAGGTTCTCCAGTGTTGTGGGTGGGTGTGGTCAAAGACAGGTGTGGCAGATATTAACTCCTGGAAATTTGATCAGAAACCCCTTCCTTGTAGCCCGATCTTGGTGGTGTACACTTAAAGGCTATAGTCCATTCACAGGTGTACAGTGTGCGTTTGCTATCCTTTAGTCCAGGGGTGTCCAATCTAATTCGCAAAGGGCCGGTGTGGCTACAGGTTTTCACTCCAAACAAGCTGGAGCACACCTGACTCCACTTGCTTAATCAGTTAGTCTTCAAACATTTCATCAGGTGACCTCCTGCTTTATTGGAGTGAAAACCTGCAGCCACATAGGCTCTTTGTGGATAAGATTGGACCCCCTTGCTCTAGCCCTTCATCAGTGGCCAGTTCTTAGTCAGGATGGATAATTTGGGGTGCCGGGCCACTCTTGTTGATGTGTAAACACTGCAACACTGTTGCGCAACACCACTATTTTCCTGCTGTAGCATATTCAATACAAGTGATGATCAAAATTTCTGCATAATTGAATGCTCAAGATGTAAACAAAGTCATTCAGAGTGGTTTGGTGTGAAATGCTTCATTGTAGGGACTCAGATGTCTTTACAGTGGTGGTGATAGGAACCAGGGGTCGCCATGACTACAACACAAATATAAGCATTTTATTTACTATCCAAAACCACCAGTGAACCTACACATCTTCTGAGTTTTATATGTAATGTTGATGATGGTAAAATAGTGATAAATCTGAAATAATTGTTTTCTTACCCAGCATGTTCCCCTCCATCATTATCCCAGCGGTCATTGGGTGGAAGGCAGGAAACACCCTGGACAGGCTGACAGTCCATCACAGCGTCCATCACATTGTCAACATTACATATAAAAACGCAGAAGACTTATATAGGTTCACTGGTTTTCACAGTAAAATACTTTTAAAAGTATCATTATCTTTACTGGGATATTAGCCTCTGTATTAGTATTGGATAGAAAACAAGCGGTATGGCCCATCCCTACCGCACTGCGAGCAGCATGCCAGGATGGAGGCGATGAGGCTGTTGCCTGCCAACAATCTGCATTCTCACACTGACACCATGCGGTGGGATGAGGTCACCCTGATCTGACCGCAGTAATGCCTTCATGCCTTTGGGTGGAGCAGCAGGCCACAATTCAGTCACTGCCATTCAGAGAGCATCAGTGACAGCTGAGGATGTTCATGCTGTGGACTTGATTTCCTCTCTTATCCAAACCTCATGCTTATTTCATTCCCACACATTTTTGGAAAGCAGTTTGTTCTTATTGCAGTCTAACCTTAATAAGCTCATTTTAAATAACACTTATGCAATTCCTTTTGTTTCGATTTTTATATACTTTCCACTTCCATATAATTATCTATTTAATTTCTTTAAACGATCAATCTTTTAAGCACTTTATTTGTATTGTTTTTCACATTGAACTACCTTTTTGTATGAAGCTCTTATAAAGTATATAACACAAATAAACCTACTGTTATCATTATTAGTCATCATTAAAATATGGTTGTATCGGTTGCAGTACAATGTATTTCTGTGTACTTTTAATTTTATGCACTAAAACAAGAATATACTAGATTATGCACTACATTTAGGCCTATATAGGAAATAAAATACAGGTATTTTATACTATATATAAGGGTGTGGTTGAGGTCATGGCCTATTTTAAAGAGCATAAAAAGTTAGATCAGAAAAATTATTATTATTATTATTATTATTATTATTATCATTATTATATATTATTATTATTATCCTAACTGTTGCAGAATGTATTTTATTTATTGCATATAAAAATGATCTACTGTGTATGGTTAAGGTCATTGCCCGTTTCAAAAAGAACAACATTAATAATATCTATTACTATTAGTTAGAATTGGTGGTTATTATTAAAATAACATCCCGTGAATTGCATCATAGGTCTGAATTACACGCCGCTGAATTCTCTCTTATTCTCACTTATTTCACATTATCGACGTGCAGCGCTTTTTTGCGTGGCCACGTTAAACCACGTGCTGCTCGCAGCTTCGCTTTTTCGTTTCGTCGCTCCGCCGTCCGTCTCACTAACGGCAGCGATGGCGGATCCAGCAGCAACGACGGCAGTTCCCCCTCCGGCGTCTCCGGCTATTTCCCCGGTCGCCAGCCCGGGCTCCGAGCCTCCCTCGGCGGCTCTCTCGCCGTCCTCAGGCGGCGCCCAGCGGCTCCTCTTCTCGCACGACCTGGTCTCGGGTCGCCACCGCGGCTCCCTGCGCTTCGGCCTGGTGCGAATGATTCACGGCGAGGAGGATTTCGAGGAGTCCGATTCGGATGTGGAGGATGGCGGTGGGAGAGGAGGAGGAGGAGGCGGCGGTGGCGGTGGCGGTGGTGGTGGTGGCGGCGGAGGTGGTGGAGGAAGCGGCGGCGGTGGAGGTGGAGGTGGAGGCGGCGGCGGGGGAGGAGGAGGCTGCGTCCCCGGGAATTCAGACACGGAGAGCGGGGCGGCGGACTCCCGGTCGTGGCCTCTCGGGAGAGGCTTCGTACGGGTGCAGTGGTACCCCGAAGGGACAAAGCAGGATGTTCGGGAGACGAAGGTGATTTTTATGCTCGTTTATTTTCATTTTTTGTGTTTCATTGTTCTCCAGCATCATCCCCCATCCATCCATCCATCCGTTATTAGCCACACCGGCTAGCTTTGCTAATAACTGCCATTCTCCTGGCAGGCTAACTTGCAAAGCTAACCGCGATTATTCGACTGTTCGTGAACGAGTTGCTCGCTTTTTTCCAAACAAAGGCAACGAAAAGAAGACATGAAAACGGCAACAGGCTTAAATTAAGTTTAATTTGCTCCCAATGAGGAAATTCATAATGAAAAGTTGCTTTTTGTGGATGAGTGGAGTCGATTAGTATGCAGTAAGCTAGGGCAGTATAAAAGATGCAGCAAGTGGGTTGTGATGGCTTAGTGAATATTATTAAAACAGACTAATTCACCTGCAGGTCAGAAGGTCTGCTGACTTGTCACCCAGTTGAGGGTGCAGTAGTGAGTGTTGTTAGTGGGAATGGTCATTAAGTCAGCAGGTTGTTGTCCATACACAAGAAAGAAATCAGTGGCATTTACACTGGTGGATGCTTCTACCTCCATCTCCAGATTCTGGAAGGTCCGCAGTGGTCTGCACAAAGCGCCGCTGTGAAGGGTGGGCTGCACGGATTGACAGTTGTATCGGACAACGTGGGCTGGGCAGGCATTCGTGCGCTTTGCCCTTTTGTGTGAGTCACACAAAGAATTGATTATTCCAGGCTGGGCCTCACTAGAATCCACCTTTTGGGGCACCAGTGGAGCTCATCAGCGAGGATAAATGCGAATCATTGTCAGTGACATTAATACAAAGGTGTGGTGTCCTGGCGAAAGGCTTAGGATAGCCGTTCAACCTCATCAGTATCTGGACAAAGCCTAGGGCAGCTTCATGGACCTAGGTGTGTCTTAGCAATGTGTGCTGAACACACATTTATCGCAGCATTTCAAATGCAGGCCCTTCAGCGTCCTTATGTGGTGTCAAAATGTCAAGACTCTCCATAGGATTGTGAAACCATTTGCTGGGGGTGGGCAATAATTACTTATCGACATCCTATATTTTGTTTTTTCTAAGGTTTGATTACATGAACAGACCAAAAAAGCCCAGTAGTGCCACATTAAACATGCTGTTCCAAAACTGCTGTATGTTCCAATTGCTGAGATGTGAAGTCATTCAGAGCGGTTTGATGTGAAATGGTTCGTTGTAGAGACTTAGGCTTACTAATTCGGATTTCTATACAGTGGTGGCGATAGGACCTGAGGTAGTGACGTCTACATCACAAATATAGCCATTTTATTTACTATCCAAAACCACCAGTGAACCTACATGTGTTGCCTGAGTTTTTATATAGAATGTTGGTGATTTGTAAAATAGTGGAAAATTAGGAAAAACATAAGATTTCTTTGGCAACTATTTTGCCTCAGCAACCTGCATGTACCTGTCCACCATGAACATATATTTTAAACCAAAACAATGTCTTTGGCATCAACCATTTCATGTAAAAACCATTTGTGAGGGAGCTTTTAGAGGTGGATGTCTGGTTCCTGCCACCACCAGTGTGAACAATTCTGCCTGGGTAAGTGTCTCTAGAACTGAGCATTTCACATCAAACCACTCTGAATGTCTTTTGTGCACATCTTAATGATTGTGTTATGCAGAACATTTGGAAAATGTATGTAGTTTGCCTTTAAATACTGAAGTAATTTATCTCAGAAATGATAGAAATGGTCCCTACCATCTGCCAAAGGCCTATGGAAATCTGTCCTTTTCAATAAACTAATGTGAGAGTGAGTGCGCTCTTCAAAAGCAAACATGTGCTCCAGCCTCCAGCAAAATGCAGAAAAGATTGCAGAATAAAGATGTACAAAAGATCAAAGAGAACTTTCCTTGCTGTGGTAGAAGCTGCATGGAGACGTTGGTTTCTGTACCAGTTATGGCTCCATATTCATTCCACAGTGTGGTGGTCCAGTGTGTGCTCTCTCTAAGGTTAGCTAGAGGTCATGCGGTGAATGACCTGGGGTACAGTTTGTAGGTGACGTTAAATCACTTTTCTTCCCTCCTGTCTGTGTCACGTGCTAAAAAGAGATGGTGACTGAGGATTAGGGTTGACAATATGGCTGCCTTAAAATACCTTAAGGCCAACTGAGGGATAGTGTTGAGTCACCATACTGCTCATGCTTATGCAAGCTTTTAGGATTTTGGAGGAAAAACCTATGAAAAAGAATCAGGAACGTGTGTTTCAAATCCTCATCATATTCATGA